CAAAGTAATTGCTTTATTAATATATTTCCTATTGCATTCTTTTGAAGAAACATATCGCTCAATTATTTCTAATAGTCTGCTGAAAGTTCAGTAAGTAAGCTCCTTTAAATTAATGTTTTCCATTCTAAGTTCTGATTCAATTTTAGCCTGTCTTTTTTGTTGTTTTTTTAATAGCTCAGGTGTGCATCTACAGTAATAAACTAGTAAATGGCAGCATTTAAAAAAATTGAGGGTAATTTCTTCAAGTTTTTAACTACCCTGTAGGAGTTGGGTTTTCTAGAGCGAGGTAGATCAGTTCTGGACTCTAATTAGGAGATCCCTGCTCCAAAATTAGTAACATGTAACTGAAGTTACTCTTTAGAGAGAGTTGCTTGGAATTTTGAATATGGAAGTTTCTATCTTTTCTCAATCAGACTTCCAGCAATTTCACAGCAACAGTGTGTTTCAAAAGCATTTGTAACTAAATGAGTTGTAGCTGATCTGTAAAATCTGCTAAAAGTGAAGTTGCTTGAGAGGTAGTAAGTTGTGCAGAGTCCTGAACAAAAAAAAGGAAAACACTTTGGACTTGATGTCAAGGCTTTCTTTAACTGCTCCATTTGAAGTTATTCTGTCAGGATTGAACAGATTGTTACCGAATTTCTATGAGCTAGTGTGTGAAGAACCCTTTTAAGTAGATCTCTTTGTGAAGAAAAGTGAGAAACTCAAAAGAAGCAAGGACATATCAAGATCAGTATCTGCTGGACTTCATGCTTCAAATTCCCTGTACATAATGGTGCATGGCAACCTAATTAGTGACTCTTAGCTTGTAGAGCTTAATTGGCACATCTGTTCAGTAATCATTTTGCTTAAAAATGGTGGGTTTTGAGGCAGCTGTGTGTCATAAAAGCCAGTAAGTGCTGGTTAGAAGCCATCAGATCTTTCTGAAGGTGTGTGCTGACTATAACTGCCCTGTCACCAATCTGCCTAGAGCTAATTCTAATATGTGGACTGCAGTTAAGAAGTGCGGTTACTCAGTTCAGTTGTGTAAACAGCCTTTGATATACTTCTTGCCTTGTGTACTTTGTGGATGGGAATGGGCAGACTGCAAGCTGGGACAAAGGAAGTGGAGTGTGTTCTGTTTTATTTCCTCTGATTAATTTGGAAACTTCTCTCTTTCTTCAGGTGAGGGCTCCTATATATAACTCGGCTCTAGGTGTACATGAGGCAGATCTTTTTAAGACGGCGGCTACTCTGATTAGTTTTATCTACCCAGCACAAAATCCAGACCTCCTGAAAAAACTTGCAGAAAAAAGAACTACTGTCTTGGCTATGGATCAGGTTCCACGGGTCACCATTGCTCAGGGATATGATGCACTGAGCTCCATGGCCAACATTGCTGGGTATGAACCTTACTCACTCCCCCCCTGCCCTGCTGTACTAAGTATAGCTGGATTAAAAGCTATGTGCTTTGATATCAGGTATATCTAAAACAATGCTGCCGCTGTATTTTCATACAGCTGCTTCAAGCAGAATGACACTGTTGAGGTGCCAAACAAGTTTCCTATGGTCAGCTTTGCAGCAGATCAGAGCAAGGCATTTAAAAAACAAACAAATCAACCCAAAATTGAAGGCAGTTCTTCCAGTTCCTGGACTGCTTTGTCTAGTGCTTTTTTGATCTGAACTAGGTCAGAGCAGGCACAAAGATGTTGTTAAGACAGCTTGAACACTGATTGTCTGTCATTGGGTTCTGATGTTATTGGGAGCTAACTAACCCAAACAGCACTCAGTATGAATGCAATTGCCATGGCAAATATAAACAAAAGACCAAATACTCGTGACATCTTCATGCTTTGCAACTGGTATTGTGGGTATTGTGGTGAACTAAAGCTGACTTCTATTGTTAGGTTCTTTATTGCCTTTTTTTTTTTTTAACTTAGATGATGTCAGTGAGGCATTCTAAGCCTTGGAGAAGGCTGCCAGATTTTGTGGGCACCAGCAGCGTACATCCGCATACATGTTTGGTTACTTCTCTAGGTTTTCGTTCTGTGTAATTCTACTAAAATATAGAAATTCATAATGTATTTAAAGGTATAAAATCTACAAACTGTGTTCCAAGTTAGAAAAAATTTTACAGCATACAGACCTCTGTATGTCCCTGCTAGAGATAGCAAAGAGAGTGGAGTGGGACTGTTGAACCACAACATTGCTAGGAAAAATACCAGAAAATGTGTACTGTTCTTAAGAGAAATAATTACACATCAGTCTGTATTTTCAGATAGCTCTACTGATGTTAACTTAGTGTCCAGCCACCCATTCTCAGATTGCTATAAAGCAGATGGGGCAAAACAAATAGCAAGGTAAAGCTATTTGCCCTAAGTCATACAACTCTGCAGAGGTAGGGTTGGAGTATCTTTTTTGAATGTGTGCTTGCTTGTCTAAGTGAGCTTACTGCAAAATTACTCTGCGTTTTTCAATTGCTTGTTCATGTTTCCTTCCCTAACAAGCCTCAGGTTACAGTCTTTGAAGATAGCTTCAAAGACAGAATAACAGAATTATTAAGGTTGGAAAAGACCTTTAAGATCATCAAGCACAACTGTTAACCCAACACCACCATGCCCACTAAACCATGTCCTGAAGTGCCATGTCCAGATGTTTTTTGGACACTTTCAGTGATGGTGATGCCACCACTTCCCTTGGGCAGCCTGTTCCAACATTTGACCACTCTCAGTAAAGAATTTTTTCCTGTTATCTAGTCTAAACCTCCCCTGGTGGAACTTGAGGCCATTTCGTGTCATCCTATCGCTAGTTACTTGGGAGAAAAGACCAACACCCAAGACCACAGAGTTAACTTTTGGCAAGTTAGGTGTTTATTGTTCAGGTAAAATTTTATTCGAGAGAGTGAATAGTTGTGGACATCCAGTATGTAGTGCAGTCAAAAAATTCTGCCTGAAGATGCATTCCATGATTAAAAACAAAACAAAACAAACCCCAGCAACAAATAAAACCCAAAAAATATGAATGAAGACAGACTATGAAATTTGTGCTCAGTAGTAAAATATTAAACTTGCTTTATCCTGTGCATGCTAAGGTCAAATGTTTATCCTTTTGATTTCTGTCACGAATGGCATTGTACTGAGCCTGGGAAAATACTGATATGTGTTCATCTTTAATTGACAGTTACAAGGCTGTGGTGCTGGCAGCAAATCACTTTGGCCGATTTTTCACAGGTCAGATCACAGCTGCTGGTAAAGTTCCTCCAGCAAAGGTATGTGCAATTAAACAGATACTGTAGCAGAAAAATGTGTGAGTTCCTGAGCACAGCTAACAAACTGTTAAAAGACTTTTTTCCTGCCTTGGGGCTAGTTCTAGAGACTTCAAAAATCTCTATAGTTATTCCCACACCAGTTTTGTTCACTACCTGTAGTGTCGCTTTTGTTGGGAGTAATAGAATAATTTTATTTAAATTTGCTTAGTTTTAAACATCAGACTAGCTGTACCTGGATAATTTTTTTTTTTTCCAGATGGGAAAAGGCAAGGAAGCAGTTAAGAAAAGCTAGAGATGTTAGGATTTCTGGTGCCTTGAAGGCTGTGATGGAAAGGATTGCTTGAGTGGAATTGCAGGTGGATTGGAGTGAAAAGCAATGAAAGTTGAATTAGGAAAGGGAAAAATATAAGATAAATTAAGGAGAAAACCTGTACTTACTTACAGATGAGTTGGTTCTGAGATAAGTGAGGTTACAAGTTACAGCTTTTAAATCGTTAGACTTATGGTGCAGCTTTACCAAAGTAATTTTGGGTCTGTGTCCTACGGTAACTTGTTTAAATGGCAGCTAATGAGATGTTTCTGCAGTTGTGAAAGCAGTACAATGCTGCTGCTTTTCTAACTGGCTATGGTTTTAGTTCATGCTCCAAGCATGATGATGGTATCATTCTAGGTGTTGATCATCGGAGGAGGAGTTGCTGGCCTGGCTTCTGCAGGAGCAGCTAAATCGATGGGTGCAGTGGTTCGTGGATTTGATACTAGGTAGGTGTGTGAAAATGGTAATAGCAGCCTGAAATTATTTTAAGATTGAGTAGTTTGTGTCTATATTACAGTGAAAGCATTTGTACTGCACTGAATGACAATTCCTTTTCTACCATTTTTATTCCATCATTATTCCTCCATTTTTTTAATACCACAACAACCAAACCTTCCAAAGAGACCTTCTCACTAAATCATTCAGAACTATATGAATAAAAAAATTGTTGCTTTATGAACATGAGACAGTTAGGGCTTTTATTCAGAATTTCATGTCTCTGTTCTTGGGGACACTGGGAAAATAGCAAAGAAATAATCTTCATGCCCTATTTATAGCTGCATACTCTCATTCAGCTCTACTCTCCTAATCGCAGAGAGTCCAGTTAGGAACTCTTTAGAGAGACACTTCTTTCAATCTGCTGAAGGAGAGAAAGAGATCAGTTATTTTATTTATGAAACTCCAGATGAAAGAACAGAAACTGCAGCTGAAGCTACTTTAAATGATGCTTTTCTTGCGTCTCTTTCTCTGTGTTCAGAAGGATTATTTTGTCCCATAGCCATTCTTTAGAGCAATAGACTGGGAAAATTACAGAGCACAGACATTTTTCTTATAGCTACAGGGACTGCAAACTTGATTAAATTTTTTCCTGTTAAATGGTCGTCTTATATTGAATTTGTATGTGCTTAATACTGTATTTGCATTAAAATTACTTACATGTGTTTGTTTTTATGCAGAAGTGCCATCTAGTGTTACTTAGCATATCTAAGAAAGAATAAAAATTAATGTGTCTCCAGATTTATGACATACAATATGAAAAAAAACCTTTGCTCTGTTTTTTTAGAAAATAAGTATATGCCTTAAAGGAAAGTGGAAAGACTTTATTTTTCTTAAAAGCATGATCAAAATCTGTCTAAAACTTTCCAGATTTTTAAAAGCATCTTAAGCATCCTGTATACTTTTATCTTAGTGTGCTAGAATGTTTGTGTTAAATCCTCTGCATGTTGTGAGTGTTCACCTAACACTGAAATTCAGCCTCATTATTTACTGTGATATCACATGATGCAAAATAAATTACAGATTTGCAGGATAACTGTAAAAAAACCCCCTTGAACCAACCCAAAAAACCCCCAACCCTCTCAACCCCCTACCAGTTTTACCTGTGAAAGTAAGACTTACTGGTATTTCTCATTTCACAGATTAAAGACAGGGCCACAGCTTGTATTTTTATCATCTATCTTAGGCATCCAACTTTGGTCTATAGATTTACCTTGTCATGACAAAAGAAATGGGTGAGCAGAGTTGGTCAACAGTTAAGCTTCCAGCTTTGAGACTTTTCTTTGAAAAGGGAACTTTTCTACAGGAAACCATAGGCTGCCTTCATTCCGTATGCAAGTATCTCCATCAGGGACCTAAAATTAGTGATGCGATTACTTTTTCCACTAAATAGAAAACGTTGAGGACTTTAGTTATGGTGGTCTTAATCCTAGAATAAATTTTAGATCTCTTATCTGAAGAAGACTACTACTAAAAAGACCAGAAAAGTCATGGAGGATTTTTAAAGTAGTGGTTGTTCCCTCCCCTCCAATTTTCTTTTCCTAGAGCTGCAGCTCTGGAACAGTTCAAGTCTCTTGGTGCTGAGCCTTTGGAAGTAGATTTAAAAGAATCTGGAGAAGGACAAGGTGGTTATGCTAAAGAAATGTCCAAAGAATTTATTGAGGCTGAAATGAAACTCTTTGCCAAACAGTGCCAAGATGTTGATATTATCATCACCACAGCACTTATTCCAGGTATGTTTTATGTGCAAGATGCTAATTTTCATTTATCTTGTGTAAGTGGGCATGTTTTGGAGCTGTGCCTGCCGTGGAAACAGAGGTAATAATGAATTATGACTATGTGGGCATGTAACTTTTCCCTTCCCTGATAAATGCCTGGTTTTAAAGTGTGTGCCTTTTTTTACAACTCAGATTTTCACAAACTAGCAGTCTTTGAGTCAGTATCATCATGTTTTCTTACTAAACAAGGAGTAGATAGTGATAAAGTAAGAACATGTAATTTTCTTGGTTATTTATTGCATCACTGCTACTTCTGCTATCCAGCTTGTGCACTGAAACAAGTCCAATTGAAACAACTGTCTTTTATAATTGAAGCATAGTAAGGTAGAGCTTAGGTTTTAATGCTTTGTATTGCACAACATCTGTCTTTTAATAAGTTACAATGTGGCATTTCTTTTTTTTTCCTTGGTTTTGACTTTGAATTGTAAGATTGGATGTAGTCTGTTTACTGAGGACAAAATTGGGCTTGCCAGTATCTTTAGTAGACTGCCCATGCATACCTTTGTTTACATGCTTGGGAGCAAGATGTTCTAGCATTTCTTCTCTTTGCTCATGTAAATAAAACTTCTGTGAAATTTGAAAATACTACTTACAAAAAATAAGGCTTAGAGAGACAGGGGATGGGAAAACTCGTCTTCTGAGCTCTACAGATATGCTGTATTTTGTGTTTAACTTACTGTACCTTGTCTTGTAAGGCAAAAAAGCTCCCATCTTGTTTAAGAAAGATATGATTGAATCAATGAAGGAAGGTTCAGTTGTTGTGGATTTAGCTGCAGAAGCGGGGGGAAACATTGAGACTACAAAGCCTGGAGAAATGTATGTTCATAAGGTGAGCATTTTAATCTGCAGATCATTCTCAATTTGCATGAATTCATATCACATTTTTTAAACTGTATGCTGAAAATGAAATTATTTTGCTGTTCGGGCTTAAGTAATCCTTTAGATTTGCATTTGGTCAGTCATCTTCATGTGTAACAATTTGAAGATTTTTTTAAAAAAAAAAAACCAACCTTTGCATAGTGTTAGTTTGGTGGTTAAGCATGGAAGTGTTACTACTTAAACTTCCAAGTCGAGTGATTTGTCTCTGCTGAGTTGGGGGTGTGATTTTGATATCTATTTCTTGGTCTACCTAAAGAGACGGCAGTAACAATAGTTTCTTTGACTTGCTCGTCACCTCCCACAACTGGAGGTTAACAGTCCCTCTCATAGGTAAGCTAAACAGGTTTACATTATGTCAGTGTTTACTTCAGTGCAAAGTCTCTGGCTTAGCTCCATATACTTTGAGCTTCAGAAAGGCATTGTCTTTGTATGCCTTTAGCTTCACCAACATGAGTGTGCCTGCCCTAGCGTATCCAAACCACTTGTAACCCAAACAAGGAGTAGCATTAATTGGTTCATTAAACTAAGCAATGTTGCTGTGGACTGGACTAACTACTCTGGTTTTGCTCCAGTGTTCACTGTATTGGCTGACAGGTTGTCTTCTACTTGTTGGGTTTTATTTTTGGTACTTGTGAGAAATCTACTAGCAGTTACAGAAATCTGGGTAATGAGATTTAAAGTAGTAGATTTCCAAGGTTGTTATTCGGTAATGTAAGGACATAATGCTGCTGTTATGCTGCTCTAGGGAGGGTTGCAGGATATATTGCTGCCATGGTTGTCATTAATATAAGCAGAGCTCATTGTGTACATACCATGAGTCATACATTATGTTTGGCTTTGTGATTTTCTAGGGCTTTTAATGTCTGACTTAAAGACTGAAATTAGAGTATGTAGAACAGAAATAAGCAGATACTTGCATGAAGAATTTATGTGAGGTGCTTTTAGTCAGAGGAATATTACTCCTGGGTGTAGTGTACTGGCACTGAGCTGTGGAAGAGAGCAGCAGTGCAGAACTACTAGTAGTGTGCTGGACCATTGCATTAAGAAGCCAGAGTTCCTGGAAGCATG